GGCGCAGGATTAATAATAATAATAATAATAATAATTGCTTACACTTGTATAGCGCTTTTCTGGACACTCCACTCAAAGTGCTTTACAGGTAATGGGGATCCCCTCCACCACCACCAGTGTGCAGCCCCACCTGGATGATGCACCAGTCCTCTCCCCCACACACCAGCTCTCAGTGGGGAGGAGAGCAGAGTGATGAACCCAGTTCAGAGATGGGGGTTATTAGGAGGCCATGATTGGTAAGCCCTGGCCCAGCCCTGCCAACACCAAGCCCCTGAGAAGTGGAGTACAGCCATGGTAAATCCAGAGGAAGCAGGGAGATAGCTTGCAAATGGAGAATCTGAAAACAAGCAGTGTGGTCTGCTGTTCTACTATTCACTGCTGTGTAATTAATATTTAGTAGGACTTTAGAAGCTGAAACCACACGACAGGCCATGTGACCTGTCTCCTGGCTGTTTGAAGTTCATTCGTCCAGGGGTTTCTCACAGCTGTGGCTACCTGGCAATAATATTCCAGGCACCAAAGCTCCTTTGAGCAAAGATGACGGCTTTAAAACGCTAAGTGCGCGTTTGTCCCGAGACGGCAGCCTGCCGCTCCCCACCAGAAGAGTCCCCCCTCCCCCCACAGGCCGCCCTCCCTCCTTCTGCGTCCAAGGAATCAGGTCCTTCCACGCCGCAGTCCTCGCAGATCACACACTGACCCTTTCACGCAAGCTCAAGACTCGGCGTGCTTAATGAGGCTGCGTGCGCTTGCATCCCAACGAGGAGACTGGGTGGGAGATGTCAGACGCAGCTGCGCTCTTGTCTGGGCCCAGGACACCATTTCCCGCTCAACTCCACCCCTGCAAACAAAACCACTGAACAGCTAGTTTCAGGCACCCACTACTCTTTGTGCAAAGGTGTGGTTCCTGTTTTCATTCCCGAATGTAGGTGCTCTTCATTTCCATCTGCGTCCTTGGTTTGAGTTCATCAGTATCTTTCAAGATGCTGGGTAGCTGTATCGTGTGCCTTAGCATTGCCAGGTGATACCATGGTCTTGGAGACTGTGTTATGTCAAAATCAATTCAATTATCATGTTTGGAGACCCATCATCGCTTGTGTCATAGAGTGACACAAATGTTGATTTAAAGATCTTGCCCCGCAGACAGTTAGAGGTTTGGGTAAAAGCAGGTGGCTCCAAAATACATTTTCAGAAGCAAGAAATGAAAATGATTAGTTGCCTGGTGCCCATTTAGGGTTAAACGAATATAAAAGGTTGTTGGTGGTTTCTTTCTGAGGGATCCAGGGAGGCAGAGTGGACAGCTTGTTTTTAATCTTATTTTTAGTTTTTTGGCTGAAAGAGATGGGCTTGGGGAGCCAGTGTAGTGCTCTGAGT